TAGACGCAAGGCGGCCAAATCGGCCGAGTTCGGCGCTAGGCGGACGCCTAAGCAGCCGGTAACCTAGGCGGGCGCCTAGGGAGGAAATCGCCATGGTCTAGAGGTGTCTAGGGCCTAGGCGGGGCCTAGACCGAGTTTTACAACCTTGATATATATGTGTGTATATATATATATATATATATATATATATATATATATATATATATATATATATATGTATATGAATGATACAACTCTCACTAAGATTTTCTTATAAAATCAGAACACAATACACAATACACAATACTACGTTTTCCTCATCTACCTACATATTAAAACTCATACACAATACTGCGTGCATCGGTCTAGGTTGAATTCCCATGTAGTCTAATTAGCTTTCTATAATCGATCTCTCTCTTAGAACTACAAAAACATCTATATGCCTTAGGTTAATATGCTGCTATTTTTCTAGAGAATATCAACGCACGCCATTGCACCACCAAACTTTGGAATGCTTATTTCATGATTATAAGGTATGTATTTAATTTATAAATTATTTACAACATAGTTTTTTCTCTTTTATTCAATATCTATTTATCAATTGTAATTAATGAATGATTCCTGTAGGGAATATGCATACATCTACAAATTCCAAAAGAATATATGGACAAATTTGCTACTGTTTTGATCGAAGGAAAAGTGTATGACTTTGAGAATTTTATTGTGCACACATCTCGCGTGAGGTTTAAGATGTGTCAACACAAATTCATTATGAAAGCAAACAGTGAAACGATGATTAAAGTCTCGGATCAAGATGATTTAATTTTTTCCAAAAAAAAAAAAATCATGTTTAAATTTATGGACTTTGGGTCCTTGAAGGCTCCAGGGGTGATGATTGTAACGAATTAATTGGTAAGATCATTGCAACAACTTTTGTACATATTGTTCTTTTTATTACTCTTTCATATAAACACATGTCATTTATTTTTGCAATTTTCCGATTCTATTTTTTTCCCACAGATTTGATTGGTCGTGTAGTTTCGATTTGTGAGCCTAAAGTTCATGTTCATCAAAAACCTCAAAGGTTGATTGATTTTTTCATTGAGGATTGTAGGTATGTGTTTTTGTAAAATTGTTATGTCGTCTTTGTTGGTATAATTAAATATAAATATATAGCCTTAATTATGAGCCTAAAGTTACTCATGTTCATCAAAAACCACAAAGGTTGATTGATTTTGTCATTGAGGATTGTAGGTGTGTATTTTTGTAAAATTGTTATGTCTTCTTTATTGGTATAATTAAATATAAATATATAGCCTTTATTACGAAATCAATTTATGTTAATTCAGGAAAAGTCGATTGAGCATAACCTTGTGGGACGAGTATGTGGATTCGTTGTTGCCGTTCTATAATGTCGTTTTAATAGATCCATTGATTGTTATACTTCAATTGTGTAGGGAAAGGGTGACTGAAGGTGAGTAATAATACAAAGGTAGATTTTAATTTATTTTTGTCAAATATACGTATTTAAAACTATTTTTTATATTAGATGGTGAGGTCAAGATTTCTAGTTCCTATACAGCAACTAAGATTTTGTTCAACTACGAATGTCCTGAGTTTTTCAATTTTAAAGAGAGGTATTGACGCATTTTAATTTGGTCACGCCATATAATATTCAATCGATAACATCTTGAACGATTACAACATATTTGTTTTAAGTAGTTTGCCTAGGTTTTTTACTCATGTGCGGAGTATAAGCTCAACTTCCAGACTCATTGGAAGCGGAACTATTGGAGCTATGTCAAATCATAATATCACAGTAAGTTCTTTAAAGGATATTCATGACGAAAAGAATGTCACAATCATTTAAACTAAATTTATATTACATTCCTTTTAACATACAACTCATGATTTGAGGTGTTTTTAATAAACTTTGTAGGTTGGACAATTTTGGGTGTTCGGAGAAATTCGTGATTTTGAAAACGATTGGTATTTTACTGCATGTACAAATAAGAACTGTGGGAAGAAACTTCAACAAAGTGAGAACAAAATTTATTACAAGCCATGTAACAAACAGTGGTCAGATGGAATCATAAAATATAAATTGGTGATTGATATCCTTAATGATGATCAAGATGGTCAATTAATACTTTGGGATAATGTGTGTACCCCTCTACTAGGGGTCACTGCTAGCGAGTTAAAGGTGAAATATTCTGAGGTTAGTGAAATCACCACTTATTTTTTACAATGTTAATAATTTTATCAGTTTTATAATATCTACTTTAATGTTTATTTGGTTGACATAAGAGGGTTGTATGCCCAATGAGATTAAAAAATTGATTAGAAATAACATGAAATTCAGGATAGTCACACGACAGAAACAATTCAATTATAGAGGAAACGTGACTTCTACTGTTCTTTCCATGGAAAATGATTAGAAAATATGTACTTCAGTCAACAAAGGAGAAGAAGAAAGTATGGTTAGGAAGCTAGCTGATGAAAAAGAGTTCAATGAAAATTTTGAACAAGTTTGTACTATCTTTAACATGTTTTTATAGAGTGTTTTAAATGTCTTTAATGCTAATGTTTTTAATTGTTTAAAACATTAGCATTAAAAACATTTAATTTAAAACATTGTATAAAAACATGTTAAGATAGTACAAACTTGTTCAAAATTTTCAGTGAACTCTTTTTCTTCTGCCAGCTTCCTAACCATACTTCCTTTTTCTCCTTTGTTGACTGAAGTACATACTCTCTCATCATTTTCCACTCCTAGAACAGTAAAAGCCACATTTCCTCTATAATTGTATTGTTCCTGTCGTGTGACTATCCTGAATTTCATACTCTTTCCAATCAATTACTTAATCTCATTGGGCATACAACCCTCCTATATCAACCAAATAAACATTAAAGTAAAAATTATAAAACTGATAAAATTATTAACATTGTAAAAAACAAAGTGGTGATTTCACTAACCTCAGAATATTTCACCATCAACTCGCTAGCAGTGATCCCTAGTAGAGACGAACACACATATTATATTACGTGACATTGTAATGAATATCCTTTAAAGAACTGACTGTGATATTCTGATTCGATATAGCTCCAACAGATCCACTTCCAATGATTCTGGAAGTTGAGCTTATACTCCGCATAGGAGTAAAGAACCTAGGCAAACTACTTAAAACAAATACGTTGTAATCGTTCAAGATGTTATCGATTACATATTATATGACGTGACAAAAGTAAAATGAGTCAATACCTCTCCTTAAAACTGAAAAACTCAGGGCATTCGTAGTTGAACAAAATCTTAGTTGTCGTATAGGAACTAGAAATCTTGACCTCACCATCAAATATAAAAACCAGTTTTAAATACGTATATTCGACAAAAATAAATTAAAATCTACCTTTGTGTTATTACTCACCATCAGTCACCCTTGCTCTACATAGTTGTAGTACAACAATCAATGGATATGTTAAAACAACATTATAGAACGGCAACAACGAAACCACATGCTCGTCCCACAGGGTTATGCTCAATCGACTTTCCCTGAATTAAAACAAATTGATTTAGTAATAAAGGCTATATATTTATTTATACAAATAAAGAAGACATAATAATTTTACAAAAATACATACCTACAATCCTCAATGACGAAATCAATCAACCTTTGAGGTTGTTGAATAACTTTAGACTCTTGAATGGAAGCTACATGACCAATCAAATATGTGGGAAAAAAAATAGAATCGGAAGATTGTAGAAAGAAATGACATAGACTAATATGAAAGAGTAATAAAAATAACAATATGTATAAAAGTTGTTGCAATAATCTTACCAATTAATTCGTTACGATCAACACCTCCTAGATCCTTCAAGGACCCAAAGTCCTTAAATTTAAACATGTTTTTTTGGAAAATTGAATCATCTTGATCCAAGACTTTAATCACCGTGTCACCGTTTTCTTTCATAATGAACTTGTTCTGGCACGTCTTAAACCTCACGCGAGATGTGTGCACAATGAAATTCTGAATGTCATACACTTTTCCTTCAATCAAAACAGTAGCAAATTTGTCCACATATTCTTTTGGAATTTGTAGATGTATGCATATTCCCTACGAGAATCATTCATTAATTACAATTGATAAGTAAATATTGAATAAAAGAGAAAAACTATTGTGTAAATAATTTATAAATACAATAAATACCTTATAGTCATTAAATAAGCATTCCAAAGTTTGGTGGTGCAATGACGTGCGTTGATATTCTCTAGAAAATAACAGCGCATTAACCAAAGCCATATAGATGTTTTTTAGTTATAAGAAAGAGATCGGATGCAGAAAGCTGATTAGACTCCATGGGATTTCAACCGTACGAGGCACTATTGTGTATTGGTTTTATATGTAGGTAGATGAGGAAAACGTAGTATCGAGTATTGTGTACTGATTTTTTTATAAGAAAACTTCACCGAGAGTTGTAGCATTTATATATATCAAAGTACACGGTAATACAATATGAGAGTATTGAAAGAATATACCATATTTTGGATTAATACCATAAAACCATACTTTATTATTAATTTTAATAATATGCATGCGATTAAAGAATCATACCTAATATGCACGATAATGTATATATAATCTTGACGGTAATATATACTTAAAATTGATTTTAGGGTCCGTTGGAAAGTAAGAAAATGACTTCTGGAAAATGTTTTCTTGAAATTGAGTCATTTTCCAGAAAACATTTTTCATTCTACTGTTTGGTTGCACACGGAAAATTACCTTTGTGTGTTTGGTTTACTTTTCGGAAAATGAGCTTTGTATTATTATTATTATTATTATTATTATTATTATTATTATTATTATTATTATTATTATTATTATTATTATTATTGTTATTATTGTTATTAAATATGAAAACAGAATGTGAAGTGATATGAGGGTAAATTCCCTGAAATTAGTACTATTGTTTGGAAAATCACCGACGTCCACGACATCCAAATCGACTCCAAGATATTGAAATGGAGAAATCTTGGAGAAGAAGAGATGGGAAAGTTGCAATATTGGCAAAGCAGCTTTGCAAAGGGTTTCTGAAATGGAGAAATCTTGGAGAAGAAGAGATGGGAAGGTTGCGATATTGGCAGAGCAGCTTCACAAAGGGTTTCTGAAATGGAGAAATCTTGGAGAAGACAAGATGGGAAAGTTGCGATTTTGGCAGAGCAGCTTCGCAAAGAATCACTTCTCGTATCCACAGCTTCGCGAAGAAGAAGCGGAAAATGACTTCCCAAAAAAAGAAAGGGGGGGGGGGGGGGGGGGGGGGGAAGTCATTTTCCGTAAATATCCATTCATTTTCCATTGACTTTAGTGTTTTCCTTCTTGCCAAACACTGGAAATCCGGAAAATGATTTCCAGAAATCATTTTCCGGGTTTCTAAACACACTCTTAATACCACGTATATGAGTAGCATACATAGATGTACACGGTAAATTAAATAATCATACCTAATATGCATGGTAATCTATAATTAAAATTATTTAATACCATACCTAATATAGACGGTATTATCTAATTAAAATTGATTTTAATACCATGTATATGATTAACATACATATAGGTTTACACGGTAAATTAAATAATCATACCTAATATGCATGGTAATACCTAATTAAAATTATTTAATACCATACCTAATATAAATGGTATTATCTAATTAAAATTGATTTTAATACCATGTATACCAGTATATGATTATCATACATAGGTGTACACGGTAAATGAAATAATCATACATAATATGCATGGTAATACCTAATTAAAATTATTTAATACCATACCTAATATAGATGGTAATATCTAATTAAAATTGATTTAATACCATGTATACGATTAGCATACATAGGTGCACACACTAATTTTTTTTTCTTCAATTGACTGATTTATTTCTGGCAAACACAAGATAATACCATACCCAAATATTACTATATACATAATAACATACTTTATTATTATTTTTAATACCATGCACACCATTAAATAATCATACCTAATATATAGGATAATACCTAATTAAAATTATTTAATACCATAGTAGTTAATATACACGGTATATGATTACCTAATTAATATTTATTATGGTTATAAAATCATATTATGGTTTTACGTCCATAACTACCAAAAGTTAGGAGGCGATAAGCTTGTGATGACACGGATCCCTCGCATGACCACTATGTGCCTAACTATAACTCTCCCATTAATTACATCATAATTATTATTATTATCATTATTTACTTTCCTCACAAAATTTTCATCTAATGAATTGAAAAAAATGGATAGATTTTCAATTCATTGAAATTAACTCTGATGGAAAACCAATTAATATTATTTTAATATATTAGTTTATTATAGTTGGGGAAAAATTATACAATTATACAATTAGTTATATAAAATAAGGTAAAAATTTTGTGATATAATAGTAATAAAAATTTTGTGATACAATTAGTAACAAATTATAAAATTAGTTATATAAAATAAGGTAAACATTACGGATTATTTACTTGCTAAAAAATTTTGAGTGAATTATTTTATTATAAGCAGCAAAATATTAAAAAGCAGAAACTACATAGGTTGTATTGTGTAAATTATTGAAAATATAACAGAATATTAAAAACAAAGTGCAGAATATGAGTAAAAATAATAACAAATAACATAACAAAGGCATGAGTTTAATAGATTAAATTGTTGACACATTCCTCATTATTCATCTCTAAGTGGACTCCTCATTATTTGAATCCGCTTCTTTAGAATCCAAAATTCCAATTGGATCATATGATTTATACTCTCCAGCTTGAGGGGAGTGTTGAAGGCAAATTATTGTGTGGACCATAACAAAAAGTACATTTTTAATATACTAAATGTATATTATTTATGTACTGAATGTACATTATATAATATAATGTACACTCAGTACACAAATAATGTACATCTCCTGAATACAATGTACATTTTTAATATACTAAAAATACATTATTTTTGTATTGAATATATATTATTTCATAATATACAAAATATGGTCTACACAACTAGTGTGGACCATAGTTCACGCAATAATAATGGAGTGTTGAAATCCTAGGCCCTTTTAAAAATAGGCCCATTAGGTTATAGTTTATTCCTAGTTAGGTATTCTTGGTCCTCTTATTCTACTACATATACATCATTCAACAACCCTGCTAGGAACGGACTACATATACACGCTTGTTGTTGGAAATGTTTGAAGGTTTAGTTTGGCTGTTGCTATTAGGTTACCTTGGCCAATACATTCGGGACATTCAAACGGAGCAGCTCAAGATTACTCTGTGGAATGGTAATTTGCTGATTATTTGAGAAAAGCACTCTTATCCACTCTGGTTTACAAGTAATAGTAACAAAATTGACGAAGGGGAATTTTTTTTTTTTCTTTTCTTTAATGTGATTGCATTTGGGCATTTTCATTTCTTTGTGCTGCGGTTTGAGCTTCTAATGAAAGTTTAGGGGTAAATATTTTGATGGTTGGCAATACATAACAAAGGATAAAGCAAATACTTTTTTCTCTCTTTTAACTTTTTAATTCATGTTATATTTGTGGCATATCTGTATAATGATCATTTATAGCTACTTACAATAATCTGAATTTTAGATAAAATTTACATTAACAATCATCTTACTATCGCAGAAGAAGTATTATTGGAAAATGTTAAGCTGATTCTTGAAGCTTTTGATTACCTTCAGTTCCCATTTGCTTTAAAGCAAGGTAAATTCTCTGTACTTTTTCCATGTATTCTGCTAATTATTCTAGTACAAGCGTTTTTAGAATGCTTTAAAAACACCATTTAGTTATTACTTGCCATAATTCCATTATAGTCTTATAGCTTGCAGCTATTGCTGTATCTAAGCTTAAATTATGCTTATGGAATTTTGTTCTCCAATTTGCTAAATTTACCTTAGCTTGCAACTGTTTGCTGTATGGTATTGTGGGAATTTAAAAGAACAACACTATGAAAGTTATAAGCTGCATTATTTTTTGGGAGAGGGTGGGTGGAAGCATAGATATTTTGATATGTGTACTGAAGGTAGAAAGTCAAGTTTGTCAGCACTTGATACTTTGATGCCATTGCAAGCCAACTAAAATAGTGTGACCTTTGGCTTTGTTATATTCATCTAAAACCCAAACCTGCTAAGTGAGTTATCACAGATAAATACTTGTGCAATATCCCCCAATTTAATAAAGAAATTATAAAGGGGATGAGGGGGTCTAAAACTTATTGAGAAGGTAGTTCCTTTGCCGTTTATGATCTAGGATTTATGGTTCATGATTATGAGTTCAGAGTACTAAAGTGTCTAACTTCATTTATGTTTATAGGTCATGTTTGCAAGTTGAGTATTAGGATTCCATGGAAAAAGCTTGGCTGGGATCTTGTTATAATCATCTTAGAGGATGTATTGATCTGTGCCTCCCAAGGAGATGAAAAAGAGGTATTGTTTCACCATATATAGCATTGATATCTAATATGTTGCACTTCATATAAACCACTATTTATGCTTGTTTTCCTTTTAAACAGCTTTATTATAGTAGCTATTAATTAATAGCCCGATTTTTATACATGATCCTAATTAAATGCTACCTAAGAATGATAACTATAGTTATTTAGTAGAAAAAAAAGTTTCAATAAGTAAAGCGGAGTTCCCTAGTTAATGGTATGCATTCAACAGAAAGAAAGGAAAAGATACAATGCTGAAATGCAGTAGGGGAAGAATAGGATTCAAATAATATATAATCTGACTTTTAACCAGAAAGGTCTAGTTTAAAGGAAGTGTTTGAAACATTAAATGCATGACAATAGGAAAGAAAATTAGATTTAAATGAAATATAGATATTGAGATTTGAGAATAATTTAAAGCTCTAGCTGCCAAAACTGTAGGACTCTTAGACTTCCCGCTTACTACATCAGCCCTCAAGTTTGCTGGTTATGGTGTTTATGCTGCTGTGCATTCTTTTATGGTTGTTTCCTTACATCAGCCCTCAAGTTTGCTGGTTCTTGGTATGTATGTTGCTGTGCGTTCTTTTATGGTTGTTTCCTTTATATGAATTTTAATTGATGAACACTGCATTGATTTATTCATTTATTTTTTCCAGGCAGTGACTGTATTTGCTATGAAGTTTTCAAGCTTGACAATTATGAAGCAACATTTTCCTAGGTATTATTCTATTTTTTGACGCACTAATTAGCTAAGTGCTCTCTGTAGTGGATAAATATAAAATAATAAATGTTTACTTAATGGTTTAAACTTTTAATTTAGGTGGAAATCCTACGTGATACCCATCGATTCATGTGTTTTGCCCATAAAAAAAATCCCATTCATATTAAGCTTTTAGTAGAGGTGGAACACATACTTATACTTTCTTCCTTCAGGAATAGTAGGAGGAAGTTGAAAACCATTATCATATCTGTCATAAACCTAATGTTTCAACCTTAGGAGGTTGCTTATGAGATGAGAGAAAAATAGATGAAATCTTTTTAGTATAATGCATTAGATTTTCTTCATACGTCTTACAAATTGATGAGCATGATGCTTTATTTGTGGTAATTACTTGCAGTAATACTTTTTTTCCCTTTTCATGGGAATCATTCGCAGTTTGCGCAATCCTTCCCGTTTTTATGAGTGACTAGTGAAAGATGTTTTTTAGTGGTAGAGTTGTGTTAGAGGTTATTTTCACACTGGATATCGTCCACAAGGAGTGACGGAAGGGAGTTGACTTAAGAGGAGCTAATCACAAGTTATAACCGAGTATATAAGAGTTAGGTCAACAATCATGTAGGTTGAGATCTTAGATTCAATCGAAATATGCACTAGACTCCTAAGCAAACACAGGCGAAGGAATAGAAATATTTAACAAACAAGAATAGAAAGGAGGGACTCAGACTTGGCTATTAAGTCTTTGATGTAAAGAGGAGTTATTCGTGAATGTGCTACAATCTCGATACATCAATACATCAATACTCCACTCTCATGGTTGCGTAATACTAGTTGGGCAATCTATCAAACACTTAGCATACAAGGCTTCTCTGTCCCTTCCTTTGTCAAGGTAAGTTCAAGATTGTGAGTAGGGATGGCAACCTTAACCCGAAACTAGTGGAGTAGTGGGCTAATTTGACAAAATCGAAAACTTTAAGGGTTAGGGTTGAAAATTTTAGCCCGATAAGCCCAATGGCTTGAATGAGCTAGTTTGAGTTTTCGTGGCTGACCGAATAGTTTGAGCTAGTCAAGGTTACTCATTGTTTCACAAGTGATGTAAAACAAAATATACATGAAAGTTTGTACATAAGCACATATTTAGTATTTTTAATTAAATTTAAGCAAATCTTTAGTATTTTACTATTTTTAATTAAATATTAATACATATGTTATTAAATTTATTACATAACAAATTATTTTGTATTGCTATATATTATCTAATAGCAGAAAATCTTTTTGCCAACCTTTTTCATCCCTCCACTTGCCTTCCTAAGTTGCTTCTTAGTTCCTACTTTGTTTGACAGTTGATTTTACATTCCTAAAATTGTTATCTTCATATTATCTGCCAAAATGCTAGTTGGTATCTACTTGTTACCAAAATCATTTGATGAATGTGTAAAAACGAATCTGTTGCCTCTCTACATTTTTATTCTTCATAAAAACTCTTGTTCATCATTATCAGGTAAGTGTTGAAGATGTGATGCAAATGCTAGACGAAATAGAGAAAGAATCTGACATTGATGAGACCTTATGTTACGGATTGCTACAGGTAACTATGATGCATAGAATAGACTTGCGTAACGTACACTGTCAATTTAGTGGTGCATGTAAGTTTTATTTTTTTCTTGGAAGTTTAGCTTAAGAATACAAGAAGAATTGAAGAATTAAATCAATCATTTTTAAGAAATAAGAATCACATAATAAACACGTGCAATCTTGTTCTTTATATTGGTCTAAAAGATTTTTTTTTGTCATTTTAAATTCTTAGTTTCTGTTAAGAAAAAGTTTTCTCACACTGTTTGCAGGACGTTTGTTGGTCCCGAATGGGTGGCGAGAAGTCTAGAGGGGGGGGGGGGGGTGAATAGACTTCTCTAACTTTTCCAATTCTTTCGCAAAACACACAAGGCAAATAACACTATAATTATATCAACTCTAAGTAACAGGCATCATCAAGATAAACAACTTAGAGTGTGCAGCGGAATAGGTAGCGGTATAGTGTTATGCTTAATAGTGTGGTGCTCAAAGAGAGATTCTAAACATGCAATACGTTAGAAACACTTAATATGGTTCTAAGATAATGTACGCAAAGTTTGGCTCGCATTCAAACGTGGGAACTATCAAACCCAGACAGATAAAGATACGCGATAAATCGTAATCGGGTTAGTTCGCAGTTAGAATAAGCATGCACAAAATATATGAGCAGTAAGTAAATAGAGAGAGAGATTTATAGTGGTTCAGAGGTGGTGTAATCCTCCTAGTCCACTCTTCTCCTTTTCACTTCAAGGAGCAAATTCACTATTCTTCGATCACCCAGATACAATAGTGAATAAGTGCCCAACGACACTTCTCCGAGTGCTTCGCACAAAGCTACACTCCTCCAAGGTTTTTCGCAAGCTCCTCTTGTTACTCCGCCTCCCCGAGTACTTCGCACCAAGCTGTACTCCTACACCACGAGAACTACGCATAAAGCTACGTCCTCCAAGGGTTTTCACAAGCTCCTCTTGTTACTCTGCCCTTCACCACGAGTGCTACGCACAAAGCTACACTCAACCAGGGTTTTTCACTCTCTCTAGTTACTCCGCCCTCTTTCTACACTCAGTAGAGAATATTACAAAGAAATAAAATTTCTCTCTCACTCAGACTTGAATTTTATCGTGTATAGCTCAATACATGACTTGATGATTGATTGGATATTCTTTGAGTTTGTATACTGCTCTTGTTCGTGATTCAAGTCATTCAATCTCTACTTGTCTTCAAGTCTGCTTGGACAATTTATAGCTAGTGAAAAACTATTTGCCCGTTGATCAACTTTCGATCTTGATCGTCCATTTTGAATTGAGTTGATCTGATAATTTTGTCAACTTGATCTGCAATTGTAGGTAGATGTCATTTCTCCTTTTTGTCAGATGATTTGAATAAATTGCCCGTTGCCGTGTCTTGAATTTTGTAGCCTCCAAAATTTGAATAAGTTCGGCGCGGCGTGCTTGATTTTCTTCTCCTTCATAAATGCTCTGACATGTCAAGTTGATCAAATAATTTAACTGCTGATTCTTGCTTGAGTATAAAATTATTTCTCCGCAAATCATCCTTCTTCGAGTGTCTCCAGTTCCACTGTAAAAACTTGATGTTCAGATGAAAATATATCAGATATTTTCTCCTTCATGATCCTTGTAAAATAATATACTGGAACCTCTGTAAAAACTTCACTGTTGTTCATGGTGAGATGCTCTGTTTCGAATTTCAAGCTTAGTCCACCATACTTGGTATGTTTCTCCATATGGTGCATGGCTTCTGTGAGACTAGCTAAAAGGAGACTAGCTAATGGAGACTAGCTAAGGAGAGACTAGCTAATGGTCTCCCCTTAGCTAGTCTCCATTCTAGCTAGTCTCTTTTTCAAGCTAGTCTCCATACGGTTCTAGCTAGTCTCTATTTTAGAGAGTCTCTTTTTAGCTAGTCTCTTTTTCAAGCTAGTCTCCATACGGTTTTGTATACATTGAGCTAGTCTCTCATACTTCTCCCATACGATTATACGGTCCAAGCTAGTCTCCCATACGATCCAAGCTAGTCTCCAATACAGTGAAGCTAGTCTCTCATACGGTGGAGTTAGTCTCTCATACGGTCCAAGCTAGTCTCCATTTAGCTAGCTTAAAAATTGCTTCACTTGAGATTCGAACTAAGGATCACTTGGCTTAGCTCACACGCGTTTCTTCTAACTCCTCTAGCATGGTTCTTGGTGACTTTTCCGCAACATAATTATGTTAAGCTATAATCCCGCTTAACATCGAAAATCAAAATATGATTTTCCAGACTTGTACTTGGGTTGCATGATATAGGTGCACCATACTCTGTAGACTAGGACTGACTCAAATAGAATAAAATTGGGGACTACTTGATTTTTCAAAAATACATTCGGCTCATCAAAATTTACAATATATTCCTAACAACGTTTTACTTGCTTCCTCGTCTAACAGTGTGAATACTGCTAAACCTCTCGAAGATGGACGACCATTCAGCATGCCCCGTTGATGGTTGAATTGGTTATCTCATGGGATGTTTGGGGTTGGCGGTACAGATGGTTCTAGCCAATTTTCAGGAATTATTTCAGATGACTTAATCAAGGTAAGCACATTCCAAATGGTACATGTTTAATATGATTACTATTTTGTTTTGTCATCAACCAAGAATTTTGGCATCTGTTAGTGCAGGATATCTATGAAGCAACTACGTTCTAGCCTGTACAATCTCTAAATGTGGATGCTACAGAAAGTGCCAAAGTCTCTATTTCATCAATCAATTTCAGCATTATTCAACTTCCAGTTGCTTTGCAGAGCATGTATGATTTTCTTCAACTTTTTGTCAATCTTGTTATTATCTGAACATGCAATTTAGAAGCTAAATTGCTAGACTTGTTTAACCAGCTTTTCTCTATTTGTCATTTGAATGGCCCTTCAAGCATAAGAACTTTAATACGGAGAACTTTAATACAGTCCTTTACGAACCCCGCCTGAGGAAGCAGCAGCTTTACCAACATTATTCGAAACACCGCTTTTTGCTTTATATCTGGGGTAAGATTTACATCGGGTTGCCTTTTTGTGGCAGGCATCACTGAAATTCATTCGAAATGTACTCACTACGGACTTCATATCCTTTTCGCATAGAAGGGAAAAATAACTTCTTTCAACTCGGGCTCACTAAAGCATCTCTTTCCTTTACTTTCATATTCCTTGTATCTAACAAGAGTATGATTAGCAAAAGCATCTGCCTTTCCTTCTACTACTTTACTAGCAGCTTTTCTTGGGGAATTACCACCTCTGCTAGCCATCATCTTTTTGTATGCTGTGATGAGAAATAGGTTCATAGCTACCTATTCAACGTTCTTTTTCTCCTCTTGACTTTCACGCTGAATGGCTTCATCAATTTGGCTCAAGATTTTTGTCTTCTTTATACCCTGTTTCTTCAGCTCAACTTTACGTTCAATAATTTCTTGATCAATAGATTTTTCCTCCAAGGGTGGGGAAGGCATAGAGTCTAAAGGCATGTCAATGCTCTGTAGCTCCATTCGTATGTTATCATCAAGCAAAAGTGTTTGATATAGGGAACTACAATATGATATATCAGATGTGCCAAGCTTGGAAGAAATTTTTGAACTAGAATCCTTTTTGTAAATCACAGAAAAATCTCCTCTAGCTAGAAATGGCTAGCAACCATTTGATGAGCTTTCATTACAATGGGATGAACTTGATTCACATTACTTTGAGTATGAGTTGCAATATTCCTATTATAGGAAACTTCATCCAACAAGCAATTATCAGGAGATTGCAAGTCCACTTCCAACTCAACTTCAGTTAATACTTCATTGCAACTATTTGAATCATTCGCCATAACATCAAGTGAACCATGGTCAGGCAAATGATCCAAATAATTGCAACGGATTCTTAACTAAAGTTGAGTTGGGAGTGGATTTGTGAGCTCCTGATAATTGCTTTACTGGATGAAGTTTCTTGTAATAGGAATATTGCATCTCATACTCAAAGTAATCAACGTGAATTAAGTTCATCCCATTGCAATGAAAGTTCATCAAATGGTTGCTAGCCATTTCCAACTAGCGGAGATTTTCTTTGCAATGAAAGTTCATCAAATGGTTGCTAGCCATTTCCAACTAACGGAGATTTTCTAGTGATTTCCAGAGAGGATTCTGGTTCAAAATTTTCTTTAAAGCTTGGCACATCTGATATATCATCCTGCAATTCCCGATATCAAACGTTTCCGCTTGATGATCGAATACGAATGGAGCTACAGAGCAATGACATACCTCTAGACTCCATGCCTTCCCCACCCTTGGAGGAAAAATCTATTGATCAAGAAATTATGGAACTTAAAGTTGAGCTGGAGAAACATGGTATAATGAAGACAAAAATCTTGAGTCAAATTGATGAAACCATTCAGCGTGAAAGTCAAGAGAAGAAAAAGAACGATGAGCAGGTAGAAATGAACCTACTTCTCATCACAGCATACAAAAAAGATGATGGCTAACAGAGGTGGTAATTCCTCAAGAAAAACTGCTAGTAAAGTAGTGGAAGGAAAGGCAATGACTTTTACCAATCGTAGTCTTGTTAGATACAAGGAATATGAAAGTACAGGAAAGAATTGTTTTAGTAAACCCGAGTTGAAAGATTGTTTTTCTCCCCTTCATGCGAAAATGAAATGAAGTCTATAGTGAGTACACTTCGAATGAATTTCAGTGGTGGTTGCCACAAAAAAGGTAAGCCGGCGTAAATCTTACCCCATATATAAAGCAAAAAGTGTTGCTTTCAATGATACTGGTAAAACTGCTACTTCATCAAGCGGGGTTCAGACATGATATTCATGTTGTTCAAAAGTGCACATAAAGCATTCATCCTCCCTAATAGCATCAATGAAAGATGATTCCTCCTCGGGTAGGGTGAAGAGAAAGAAACCAGTGAGTGAGCTCGAGCTCCTCTATGCCCCAAAAGCAATAGGAGCAGTAAATGGAAAGAGAAATAGTTCAAGTGCAAG